TCAACCTTTTCAAGTGAATCCTATCAAAGAAAAAGACCTGATACTAGCATAACGTTATCTATACTTCTCGGATGACTTTTCACTAGCGCGCGCTCTAGCTCTCGCGCTTGAAAGGGGAGGAGCCCAGCTCGGACTGGATATAAAAAGGAGTTTAGTAGTGCAAATTTTTCTGTTTTACAGTCATCTTTTACCACCATGATCGCCTATCTAATTGACAGCATTGTGGGACTAACCATTTACTGTGCTTATTCGATGTTCATCATGGTTCATATTGGCTGCATTGTTGGTAGCTGCTTTTGCAGATGCTGCCCCTGCAAACCCTGGATTAAACGTATTACCCTAGAAGTTGCTCAATATTTGTATGGACCTTCATCAATTACAAAGAAAAACCAGAAAGAGGAAAGTGAGTCCATTGTCTTCATAATACAAGGGATGGAATTTCAGGATAGCCAGCTTAATATATCAGTGATAGCATGTTACAATGCTCTTGTCATTGGTTCGATCTTTATAAGTGCGATGAGACTTCTTGTATATCAAGAAACAATATATGGATGTAATACAAATCATTTATATTATGAATGCTGGTTGGCAAATGCAACCAACCACTCAATAGGAGCCATGATCACTAACTGTTCAGAATATATAAATGAAAACTTGGTGTGTTACTATATTAATTTTGCTCCAGTTGAAACTATTGGTTTTATTGGTGGTTTTATCAAAATTGTACCACCTCTAGGTTTCAAAATCTCAACTTTTCTATTTTTGTGGCTTCCAAGCTATCTCAAACAGAAAAGTAAATGTGCCAGCAATGTCTGTTTACTTTTTCAAGCCACTCATCTTTTACATGTCTTTAATATCATAATTTTCTTTCTTGTCATAATTGCGTTAGGAGTAATCATGGATGATTTCATAGAAACAATAATTTTTAGAAATACAATGGCTATTGGAAAAGGAACAGCCACAAAATTTGCCCTCTTCATGGTAATAATATTAACAATGACTATGTGCCCATGGGACCTACTACTGCAAAAAGAAAAGGCAAAAAATAAGATCAACGTCTTGCAACCAGAAGAAGACAATGAAGAAACTAAACCTCTGATCAGCAATGGTGGCACTGCAACAAAGGCTTCTTCTTTATAGACTATAGGTACGTCACAAACCAATAGAATTAATTAGGTGTAGCAATTAACAATTAATTATTATTTTGTAACAATTTTGAGCTGCAATGTCATAATGTTATTTTTTAATTATTCTGAGTAAACTTGCCGCACTCTTGCAGCTGGCCTACATACACTCATTATAGCTTATGATAAGGAAGTGCCCAAAATCTTGTATTTCATCTCATGATTATGATAACATCTATTGATTGGGGCGAGCCTGAGTGACCCCCATTAAGGTGAGAAAGAGTCTATGATAAAGGAGTGCCCAAAATCTTCTTGCATTTCATCACATGATTATAATAGCATCTTACATGTATCTCTAAAGTTTATGGGGCGAGCCCTAGCTAACTAAGGCGAGAAAGAGTTTGTAAGAGGATAGGGTCATCTAACTATTATTAAAGTTAAATAGCCTAATCTTCATTGAAAGCGGGCATGGTCACAATGAAATAAAATGGCATGGATAATAGAGAGTATGAAAATGGTTGCTATCAGCAAGTCTGAGCTTCGTCTAGTAGACCCTACTTTTTGAACCATACACTTTTTGAAGATTATCTATAATAATGAATTATTCAATATTTTAAAAAATAAACATGTACATGCATTTATAGGCATGCACATATGTAATAATAATATTACTTCAGGTCACAAATTAATCTCATGCTACATTAATAAACCATTATCCCTCACCTCTAGTAGTAATGAGTGGACAGTCTTTAGACTCTTAATTATATATTGATTAATATCGGCATGACAACACATCTAATTATAATGAATACTCAATTAAGTGTCATTTTTATATTAATAGGAAGTGAATAATGAATTCCAAATATAAATTCTCCACCCAATTAATGTACATACATTCATTGCTATTGTACATCTCACCCAATAAAATGTACACGCATAGTTATAAAAAGCTCACGTGTACTGTTGTCCCATATTTTCTTCTGGGTTTAAAAATAGCTAAATAAAAATAATTTAAAATTAATTATGAAACTCATTAGATCATTAAAATTATGTCACCTGCTGGGTAAACTCCTCTGACATACAGTATAGAGTGTATGGCAGCCTCTATAAACTCTGTAATGACATCAGCTCTAGCTGAAATAATATTATCAAACTGAGATTTTCCCGCCACCAGTACCTTCTTTGAATGGCTCCATAAGTAATGAGTGGGTGTGTTCATAAGTTTAATGAACCACGCCCACAGTCACACCTCTAGATAGTACTGAGATCAGTGAGATGCAATGGAGACTCCAAAAGATGAGGACTTGGAGGAGAGAGAAGATACTGACAAAGAGGAGGAGGAAGAGCCTAGCTCCCGTTATCCTGGTCTAGACAAGAGGCACGGGTTTTTCCTCTCTATAGCTAACAACCAGTCAGACAGGGACAGCTATCACTGGAGAAAAGAAGACGAGAAATTGAAGAGAAAACAAGAAATTGACAATCAAGTGAGTAGGAGGAAGAGAAAGAAAAGATTTTAATTATTTAGTATTTTTTATTGTTGAATTTTTTTCAGATAAAGCAACAGAAAGAAGAGCGACGGAGAAAGAAACGAGAGAAGCAGAAACCGGATCAACAGGTTTACCGCCCACCACACACTCGGAGAGAGACCACACCTACCCAAATAAACTATCGGATTGAGATCGAAGTCAGACCCAACACATACTGGAGAAGAGACGTGTCTCAGGTAAACACCACTAGGATATTGAGACCTTGAATTCATTTATTATGGCAAGAGTGTTCTTGATTTATATACAATATTTAGTGCTTTTAGTTACTACATTAATAATGTATTTATCTTTTTTAATATTTATAATAGTTGGGCAAAATTAGCGAGTTAGTTAGAAGTGCTACTGATGAGTTTCGCTTGGACAATAGCACTAGTATTGTTCTCGAAGAGGTTTTGTATAATTTTGAAAAGAAGTTAAGAATTCAGCAAAATCACTGACTATATAAATTTTATATAATGTACTGTATAAATCACCATCATTTATTATTAATTTTTAATGTTTGTTTAATTTTTATTATATAATAATAATTATCATTAAAACAATTGATGTATAATTTGTCAAAAGAAGTTAAGAATTCAGCAAAACCACTGACTAAAATTGTACACTTCCAATCATCGTTATATATTCTGCAACTATCATTAAAAGAATTGGAAGTGAACAGTCATTGTACTACTTCCTCCTCCTTCCCATTCCTTTTACTGTCTTCAATGGCTTCTCCTTTGGTTTCTGAGCAAACGCAGATGAAGCACGCCTGAAATAAACGTAAATAAAACAAGAAAAAATTGAATTGAAAACTTAAAATTTTGACTCAGTCAAGACTGCCAAGGTTAATTCATATAACACAATATTTACTGTGTTGATATGAATGTGGGAATATAATATATGCTCTTGCTAATAGATACATGTAATGGTGATTACTCACTAACATGCACAAAAATGTCAATATTTACACTAGTCACTACTAATAAAGCAATTCCAGTCTCAATATTACTAATAGAATATGTCTACAGTCTGAATTGCAATGTATGATTGAAACAATGAAGAACAATAACAATCAACTACACTCATAAACCATGTACTCACTTTGTAGCAAATGTATTGATAATAAAGTAAAATACTAACTGCAATTTGTACTGTATAATGCAACAATGTATGTATATATGCAAGTACTATTATACTGTAGTACCTTGTGCTTGGTGTATCTGCATCTAGTCCAGTGCCAAACTGTGAGAGTTCTTTATTTTTCCTCTCACGGCTAGCCGAGCGAAGAAGAGGAGGAGAGAATACGTACTTTGTCTTTTCTTGAACAGGTGCAGCGCTAGCTTCATCATCAACTGTCATTGGGGTAACAGCACTAGGAGGGGGAGGGGGAGGAGCAACAGTGCTTGGGGGAGAGAACGTGTACTCTTGAGTGGATACCATCACACTGGAATGAACTGGAGTGTGTGCAGATGTTGATGGTTTCGAAGCCATCTTTGATCCTGGAAGACGTCTCCTTGGTATTTTGATGACAGGAGATAGAGAGACAGTGTCCATACTGACTGGAGCAGGTGGTACATAAGAGGAACGAAGAGAACTAGGAGTCAGTTTGAGAGCAGATCTAAGGAGAATTAATGACAATGCAATACATATAATTCAACAAAAAATGATTCCTCAGTCACCATAAAAGATATAAAACTAACTTTAGTTGAGAAGTGGACACAGACTGCTCTTCTTCCTTTTCTTCATCTTCATCTTCTGCAGCAATAAATGACTCCTCCATCTCCCTATCATCATTAATAATAAATCACACGGGAACCATTAAAACACTAACCCTTCGTCTCTACCACCAGCGTCACCTAGTACGACCTCATTAGCAAATGATGGAGGGGATGTTATGGTTGCCTGAGCCATGCCTTCATTGTCTCCGCCCATCTCATCAGCCGAACCATCGAGTGAATAAAATGAATCAGACTCATCATCAGAAGGTGGGAGTGGTGTTGCTATAGCAATAGCGCTAGAACTTAATTTCTCTCCTGAATCTTCAAGAGCAAACCTAATAATAATGTCTGACTCCGCCCATTGGCCGTACCAACCAACCTGATACGTCTTGTGGTCGTGTCAGTAAAAACTGGAGGCGAAGACGTTTGAGATATTGTTGGTTTTGCTTTTAAAATTGAAGTAGGCGTGGCAAGTATGGACCGACTTGGGAGTGGAGTCTTGATAATAATAGGATCCCTATCTTCGTTCCTGTTCATAGCACTGTAGAGAAGGAACCAATGACATTATGTCACAAAAAAAGATTAAATAAAAGAAAAAAAAGAGTGAGAAAGTTGGATAAGTACATGTACATGTACACTCATTCCATTTTACTTGAGTATAGCCATCCTTGCTTTAAATCCTTCCATTCGCTCCATGAACACATTCATATCCATCCTTCCCTTCTTTGTGCTGCTATGATGGATTGATGACATTAATGAAGGGGACTTTGGAGGAGTAGCTAAAGGATCTTGCACACTAAAATGAAATGAAATAATAAGTGAAAGAGAGAGAGGGTGTGACTCACGGTTTGTTCCTCTGTGGTCTGGAGGAGTGACGAGGGGAGGAGACAAAAGGAACGGACGTTAGAAGTCTTTTAGGAACACCGGATGCTCTCTGAGAGGAGGTGGAGCTAATCAAAATAATTAATATTAGAAATATAAAATAAAAATTAATTATGAATTCCTGATAATGATTTACAGGGTTTTCTTGAATGGAGTGAAGGCTGGCCCTGACCCTGGTGTTACTGCCTTGTCTCTATAAAATAACAAAAAATTAATAAAGACACTGTACTATAGCCCATAGTTTTTCCAAAAAATGGCCAAAAAATCACCCCCAATTTTTATTACATTTTCTGATACATATTGATGTACTTATGCTGTGTAGCAAGTTTGAGCCGATTCCGACTTCAATTTTTCAAGTTACGACCATTTCAAAAAATGAGCTGTTTTCTGAAAAATACCCAAACTATAGCCCATGGTTTTTTCCAAAAAACGGCTCCGAAATCACCCCCAATTTTTATTACATTTTCTGACACATATTGATGTACTTATGCTGCGTAGCAAGTTTGAGCTGATTCCGACTCCAATTTTTCAAGTTATGGCCATTTAAAAAATGAGCCATTAAAAAAACCCCTGTATTATTTATTACATGTTCTTTTTTCCAAAAAATGGCCCAAAAAAATCAGCCAAAATTCTATCACATTTTTTGATACATATTAACGTTTTGGCTCCAAAATGATAATGATAAGGACAGAAATTATTATAATAATAAATTACTGTGCATCATCATCATTGATTCTCTTCTCAGTCAGTGCCAGGAGTATGTCAGCTTGAGATGTGAAATGATGTTGAGCTGATTTAACAAGAACTGAAGAGAAAGGCTCAGGACCACTACCACCGCCTATAAAATTAAAAATATAACAATAAAAATGCAAATTTATAAGTTCCCTTCCTCTCCTCACATGCTCCAGTTTGTTCCTCTCTAGTGTTCTTCATCAGTTCATCTGAGCACATTGTAGCTAGTGATGGTTGGAGCAGTTGAGAATTAGCTAAAGAACTAGCCAACGAACACGTCTTTTCATTCTCCTTTGCCAGACTAATAGCTTCAACATGGCGTCGATGATTAAGCAAAAGACACAGCGCAAGATGAACAGCACAGCCACTACCAATCTCACTTAATGCACCACAGACGTCATCCTGTAATGTTGTCATGGTTACACTTTGACCACACCCACTAATTAACTCACCAGTAGCTTGTCGTGTAGTTGCATCCGTACAAGTTTAAGTCCGTGTTCGGCTAGTTATTAAAATAGTTAATTAGTGGTTATTAATAGTTATTAACTCACAGGAGTGACTGAGACAACTGTTGACAAAACATTCCAATAACATTCCATAATTATCAGAATCAACAGACGACTCCTAATTAATAAAATTAATTAAAAATACAAAAATTTGAGCTTGTTCGATTTCTAAAATTTTTGCAAACATTCAAATCACACAATTAATTATTCATTATCGTACCAGTATTCTTGAGGCTCTAGTGACATTACCTCCGGCAGTATAGACCCTAATCCGGAGGTGAGGGTAGGTATCACCCTTGCACTCAAAGAGATAACCAATGGCCTCCGATACCATACCTACTCATTATCATAAAGGGTGTGGTCTAAAATGGGCGGGCCATACCTTCAGACAAGAGACGCAAAACAGCTAGTTCAAAAATTGATTCAAACTGGATCAACTGAAATTAAAAAAAAATTAAAAGTAAATCTGAACAATACTAGCTCAGTCTCACTCTTCTATCAGTAATGTTTGGTGGTACAGTCCCGTGATCTATATTCCAGATCATGACCGCCAGATCAATGCAGTCCAAGTGAAAACTTTTACAATACTGACGAGCAAGAGTAGCATCACCAGGAGGAGTGGCCACGTCCAATAAAATATATAATATCTTAAAATGACAGTCAGGGAAAAAACATTGATAATTGTTGCTTAAAAATTACTAATATTATACAAGAAATACATGTACACATACTGTAATAAATAATTTCTATTCATAAAAATTGTTACAAAAACACATACCAAAGTTACCCAATGCTTTATACTTGTACATGGATTAATATTAATATACACAGAATAATTTAGGATACCATTAACTGCTGGTAGAGTGAATCAGGATAGGCTTTAGCTTTCAATAAACACTACAAATGGAAGACCATGCAAATACATACACTCCATTGGCTCCAGCCTTACACTGATATCTGGTGCTGGATAGTGAAATGGGACTTTATCAACAAACTCTAAACCACGAATCAAATGATCAAGAGCCAATCCAAAACTATACGATAAAATAATAAAAATAATTTTAAAGTACATGTACATGTTACTTTTCTCTCTTGTCAGAAATGTCTTCATATCTACTTGCTAGTTCGTTGGAAGGAAAAACAAAGCGACCATCATCTAAAGCATCACAATCCATAGCAGCATCTAGAGGAGAGAATTTGATAAAAAAAGAAGAGGAACCATGAATAACAATGTAAATATACATGTACATTATACCTGTTAAATGAGGAAGGAGTCCAGTGTCCATTAACCAGTGAGTAGTCTTCATAATCTGTAAAGAGATTGTTATAATAATAATAAACAACTGCATCTTGTACATTGTAAGAGAGAGAGCTAGAAGCTAGGTTACATACCTCATGGTGTATATTAGCAGTGCAGTATTGCAATGAGATATCATCATTGCTTCCATCGGTTTGAATAGAGAGTGTCTCGATCACTTTAACAAAGACAGAGAAGCATTTACAAAGCAGGTTAGCATAAGATATAACAGCTGGATGTAACTCATCACCAAAGAGTAGTCTATCAACTAAAACACAAAAGAAAAACCAATCTCAACACGCTACAAATAGCAGCTGCATGTTAGAAGTACATTGTATCTCCATTCTTTCTCTTACTCAGGTTATTCTTCTCAGTTACAAGCTCCTCTACCGTCTTCCTGATCCATTCAATCATATTCTCTAATGACAGCTGATAACCAGCGACAACACACGACTCAGCCACGCCCATAAGTACAGACTGAAGTCCATGCTGAAGACAGACAGATAGAATGAAATACTGCATCTCAGTAATTCCCTGAATGACTCCGCCCACTAAACTAGACCCTGGTTCACTTGCCCCGCCCAGTATTGGTACCAATCCAACACACTGTAGCTCCAAGAGGTAGTGCTGGGGGTTGGACATCACTGCTGGACCATGGGTTAGTAACTCTGTGATTACCTGGAGGTGGGAGGAGTCAGTAGTTATTAATATTAATAGTGAATCTGTGAGGTACTTGAGAACGAAGACCTTCCAATTGAAAGATACCGACCTCTTCATTTGAGATGATATTAAAACCTAAAAAAGGAATCATTATTATTAAATAATTATAATAATAATAATAATAATAAATAAATAAAAATAATAAATCATGTACAATGTACTATAATCTTGATTCTACAGTCCATAAAAATTTTTTTAAATCATTAACTATTTTTAACAGTCACATTTACTAAATATTACCCTACAGTACAGAATAACATTATAATGTACATTAAACCACTCCCACTTACTCATTGATAGCGATTCTAGAAAACTCCTAGACTCAACCTGGAACAATACACTCTTATCAACTGAGACAATACCAGTAGAACAATTCTAAATAAAAGCACACACAATGAATATTAGTAACAGCTGCTCCTCGCCATACCAGAATACAACCATGATCCATTGATACTTCAAATTGAATGAGAAATGGACAAGTTTTACGACTAATGGAAATAGAGGGAGAGGGAGAGAGAGGGGGGGAGAGAGAGAGAGAGAGAGAGAGAAAGGAAAAGAAATAAAGGAGAATGAACATGCACCATACCCTAATTTGTTAGTGTCACTCCAGCCAGGATGCAGTGGCATCTGCGAATTATACCAACCGTTCAAATCAAAAATCGTCACCATCCCTCGTCCCTCCTCCTCCACACCACGACACATAAACATCACCAACGTACTGTCAATGGGCGGAGCTAAACAGGCTTTAATTAGAACAAGGATTGATCGTGAGCTTACTTGAAACATGTGAAGTACCTTTTACTAATGGCAATACCCTCACTAATACATAAGAGAAGGAATACATAAAGATATAAATGTATGTGGATGTACATTATCTTACTTATGGTGGAGGAGTTGACCATTACTGCACTGGTATTGTGGTATGGCCACATTGTGTGTTCGAATCTTCTGTTGCAACCTTCAATCACCTAAAAACAATAATCCAATTCACATGATAGCTGCACATAGTGTTTACTGTACTTGGTATAACACTGTATTGGGGTAGTCAGTCTTCTTCTTAAAACCCATCTGGTACATAGTGACTGAAGGAGATGAACCAAAACTAAAAGAAGAGGATTGGAAGGATCATAATTGCACACACTAAAAAGTATACATGTACATGTACACCACTCACACATGTTGTGCCTTGGGGCCGTTGCGAGATACCCAAACGTAAAGGAAGTTCTTTGGATCGTTCTCGGGTTCCTGGACAGCAAAGTGAGTGACGGGGGTAGGCAAACGGCGCAGGAGGAGAGGGAGGGAATAAAGGAGAGTGGAGTCAAGGAGACTGTACAACTGGAAACCGCCAAAACTGTATCCAACCAAGAGACCAGCTGCTAAAGGGAAGTGACTAATAGCTGTGACTGACACTAGAAGGAGAGAGAGAGAGAGTCAAAATTTTATGACATTGTTTTATACATATTGATGTACTCATGCTGTGTAGCAAGTTTGAGCTGATTCTTATTAAAATTTTTCCCAGTTACAAGCATAAATTTACACAAAGCAGTCAGTTTGACTGTGTTGGTTCTTCACCTCCTTCAAATGATCCAATCAGTTTACTAGTCGCTGGGTCAGGATACTGAAACAAGGAGCCATTACGCTTTATATAACGACCTAAATTATAAAAATAAAAGAAACTTTATTTAATGGTAGAGCCCCACAATAATTATTGTACATATATACTGCTTGATTTAGAGGGAGTTTAGGTCTCCCTAAATCTCTCATTTTTAGCTTTTGGTCTCTCATATTTAGCCTAAGTCTCCTAAATTCTCTCGTTAGATTGGTCTTCAAAAATCAATATCTAGATCTAACACTGTACATGCAAATGCCTACCATTAATGTCAAGAGCTAAATGGACTCCATCTCTGATACTGTTAGTGGAGTGAATGGGAAGATCATCAACAGCGTACGGGAGGATCTTTACGTCACGTGGGAACTGTAGATTAGGGCGGGGCCAAATATGAGAGTGAGCAAGGACCAGATCAATTAAAACGACTCGTCCAGTTTGACCACACCCACAGGCGATGACCCCACTGAAGGATTGGAGGGGAGACGACATGAACAGACCAAGAGGGAGGGTCACTCCACTCACATCAGCTACGGTGGAAACGAGAAAAGGGAGGTTCAATACCCTGACTAGGAGACCGGACTTTAATGAAAAAAGAAGAACGAGACTTTGAGACGCTGACTCAGCAAACACTAAAACGATGTATTCCTTCTTCTCGTGCTCTATTCTGCAGTGTGCTTCTAATTGAAGACCTTTAGTTGAAAAGTGGGAGAACTTTTTGAGGCCTTTTCCAAATAGAGAGAGGTGACTAAAGGATAGGAGATCGTTGGACTCGTCCAGGAACCAAATGAGACTACTATCTTTGGAGATGCCTCCATATTTAACGGTTTTCGGCAAAGGCAAAGTAGTTTTCTGAGTTGGAAAATTTATTCTTGCCTCCACAGTGCTCATCTTTGCCCGCCGCCTTTGCTTTGGCCTACAGTCCCTACCTACACGAGCACACGTGTTTGTTTTAAGAGAATACGGAGGTGTTTATATGTTATACTGAAACTATTTATAACTCTTAATAAACCAGACAAGTTAATAAAATATTCTAATAACCACTTGTCCATGTGCTACCACGTGGTTTCACGCATGCGCAGTAACTGGGCGGGTCGGCTTCCAAAAAGGGAGGAGGATGATTAATTTTCAGCTCAAGTTCCAACACACAGTGCGTGTTTGTAGCCATTAGCAAGCCACCCAGTCTCATAAAGGCTAAGCCCAGCACCTGCTGCTGGTGTCGTTAGTGTAGAGATCTCCTCTCTATCTCCCTCACCACTTGCTATGCAGGCAGCCGGCTCCTCTAGCAGACCTAAGGCAGGTCAAAAGCGAAGCCTCCCAACAGGTGGAGATCAATCCACCGCCTCCTCCTCCCAGCCCATGGCGGCCATGGTGCGTGAGGAAGGCTACTCTAGTTCAGACTCCTCTTCAGACAGTAGCTCTTCAACCAGCAGTTCCTCCACTAGTGATGGAAGCAGCTCTTCCGAACCTCCCGGAGCCATCAGTGAAGACTCTACCAATGCTGCTAGTCTTGATAGTGTTTTTGAGGAGGACGACTTTGGAAAGTAATCATACCTTGATTATGATGCATAATTAGACTAAGGAGGGGAAATAAAGCAAAGAGAAAGAGCTAGTAGATATAATATATAGTTGTACCCGGCCAATTTTAAATGTTTTAAAAATTAGCGTGTTGAAAATATTTCATTATCAGCTAATTATTATTATTTACTACTTTTTTTGATTAAATTTTTGTCTTTTTCTCTCCCTCTCTCTTTAAGGTTCTTCCCAGTATCCTGTGCTGATAACGAAGCTCGTTTATACATGAAACGATTTGCCCGAGGTAGCGTTGGAAAGTGTATCCTTTTCAAAGGGAAATGGTGCACTCCGAACGAGTTCCAATCAATATCGGGACGAAAGAGCTCAAAGGACTGGAAGAGGAGCATTCGACTAGGAGGCCGCATCTTAAAAGAGTACATCACCCAAGGACTCTTTGAGGAACACTCGAAACTCTGCTCTTGTAAGATCTGTTCCGGTAGCGACGTTGACATGCTAAAGCAAGAGGGAGAAATGGCACTGGCTGCAAAAAGAAGGAGACTAAGTCAAGCAGATTCTCATCCTCACGTTCCTCCTCCACCACTACTAGGGGGACGATCGGCTCAAGTCTCTTCTCCTCTTGTGGAATCCGAGGCTAAGACCGAGAGTAGTAATTCAAAGGCTGGGAAGACAAGAGCAAAGAAAGGTCAGGAGGAGGCATCTGATGGTAAGATGAAAGGGAACTCTTCTACTAGTCCTAGTAAAATATGGTCACCCAGTGGAGGTAAGCTATAGTTTAATTTGTTGGAATTGTAACCATTGCATGTGTAATTGTAATTATGTTATGTATTGTTGAATTGTATTATGTATGAACTTGTGTTTATCAAAGTGGATTTAGAATCTTATCAAAACTTGTGTCACAAAAAGTTTGAATCAATTCTGCTAACCATATTTGATGCCAATTTTATTACATATTGATGTCCTTTAATGTCACTAATTTTTAGTTTTGTAAATTGTCAATACTATTTTTTTAAATTAATTTCAAAAACACCTTTTTATTAAATTTTTCTGCATTTGGAAAATTTGCGAATAGAAAATTTCTTAGTCACATGTATATAATGTATATTATGTTCAGTTTTAAATTCTTTAAATTTTTATTATATCATTTAATATTTTTAGAAACAGCTTTAGGTGGATCTAGTAGTAACGAGGAGGAGGAGTATCAACCACAAGAGGTCTCCACAGCCACTGGACAGGACATACCTCCTTCCACTGCTGTAGTAGGTGAGGACATTATTTTGTGGAGAAGAAACTTTTAAAAATTGTAAAAAATCCAAATTTGATCGGAATAAGCTCAAACTTGCTACACAACATGAGAACATGTATATGTATCAGGGAATGTTATAAAAATGGAGAATTCCCTACTTTTCATTTTTGACGAAATTTGGCCAAAGACCCTGTACTATAGTACAGGGACTTTGGTTCAATTTTTAGTAATTTAAAAAATTCGTAAAAAATCCAAATTTGATCGGAATCAGCTCAAACTTGCTACACAACATAAGAACATGTATATGTATCAGATAAACTTATAAAAATGGAGAATTCTCTACTTTTCAATTTTGGCAAAACTTGACCCGAGACCATGTACGGACTTTGGCCAAACTTTGTCTAAAATGACTCACTTCTTATCCTGTCTTCTCTCTCCCTTTTAGATTCATCAGACTTCATACCCAGGAGATCAAGAAGGAGCACTCATCGCAAACACGTCGGCCATAGAACGGAGCTAGGCACCTTTACCCACAAGCCCTCCCAATGGGACGCAGAAGAGGTATCTCAGTTCCTCCAGCTCCAAGGATATGGCCAGTACTCCGAGTCTTTCTCAAACAACGAGATCGACGGACAGAGCATGTTCCTACTACGTGAGCATCACCTCATGGAGAGGTTCCAGATGAAACTAGGACCAGCCCTCACTTTAATTAACATCATCAGTCGCCTTAGACACCCGCCCACAAGTTGAAACTATTTTCTGTATAAAAGCCACACCAACCCAAATAGTACATTTTCTTTCTTTCACTAAAACCTTTTCTCTCTCTTCCTCCCTCTCTCTCTAACAGCCAATCTTGACACTGTACACGTATAATTATTACAGGTCCTACTAAAAAAGGAGCATGTTTACTTGTATGAAACGAGAGTTTTGAAATAATGTGGTACAAATGCAGTATCCCACCAACCAGCAACATGTGTTTTATGTAATTTATTATTATTATTATTATTATTATTATTATTAATATGGAAAGTTTTTTTTCTTATACAGATTGTCACTTTGATGTATGCCTTATGATTTTTGTTACCACTGCACTGTACATGTATATTGTTTTATGATGATGATGCTCTTGTTTTATACAATAATGTTACATTTGTCATTGCAATCTTGCCAACATGCTCTGCTGGCATTGTAACAAATAAAAAGCAGGCAGTATAGATAGATACATGTTCATACAATCAAAGTTAGTCATTTCACAGTTAAGTTGTAGGGTAGGGCATGATACTACTGCTCTTTGTACCATATAGGCTAATTATAATAATTTAATATTTCTGAATGATCTCTTTATCAGTCAGTGCACTATGATGTCTTTTTGTGTTTGGTACACTCGGTTATTGTTGTTGGTTGGTACACTGTGATCTCTTCATGCATGAACCAGCAACAATAACTGTTGATGCTATGTCATGCTAATTTAATTGTGTGAAGGTGTGTTGCTGCTGAAGTGCTTATTCATTTGAAGAATAGATCTACAGTTTTGAGAAAAGTCATCATGTTGCTCTCTTTTCTTCTCCTATTCTTCCTGAGTCTATTAGGATCAAGTAATGCTGTCTCACAGTATCAGTTACAAAATGATACTCTTTCTACTTTCCTTGTCCTGAGTGATGGATCACTCTTGATTGGTACAACCAGTCACATTGTAAAGTTAAACTCTGACAGTTTAACAGTGAACTCATCTCTTCCATTGAACACTACTACTAATCAACTACTGTTACCCCTCAATGATACTGGATTCACTCAGAATGTTCTCTCTTGTCAGGAGCAAGAGTGTTTTCTTCTTAATCCTAATGACCTCAGTACAGTCAGTGTTTCTACTAGTCCCAGTCCTTCACCATTCCTATTCCCAACTACACCTGACATGCCAGGACTTTATACTGAAGGCAGGAACTTTTTTATTGGTAAAAATGCTGCTTCAACTACTTATTCATCAATTAGTAAGCTAAGGTATTCATTCTCTGGCTCTCAGCTACAAATTATGCTACTCGGAAGTCAACGAGAACGTGATATTAATTTAGCTAGAAAATTTCTAGCTAATTTTCAGCAGAATGGATTCATATACTATGTATTTTTCCTCCCTGGGTTTAGCTCTAAGCTACTAATAGCAAGAATATGTAGCAATGATACTGGAATCGAGGAGGATAATGTGTTAGTACTTACAACATACACTGAGGCAGAGTTACAGTGTAACGGAATGATGACTCCTGATTCAATTACATCAGCTACTTTTGTACAGTATAATGGAGAATCAATGATCATGGCATCAATGAGGAGTGGCAGCACTAATATCATATGTGCATTCAATGTATCAGAAATTAATAGAAGAATGGATGATAAGCTATCCTCATGTAAAAACGGGCAGGGCACATTGTCTTTACAAAGGTTTAGTGGTAGTGATGCTTGCCCAACTAATTTAGAGCAAGATAAGAAAGATGTAAGTAAAATGAGTCTTACTTGTATTATAATGACGAATCATTGCAATAGGCAATTACCCCATGCAATAGACCAGGACAGTTTATTGTTCCATTTGAAGTAGATAGTCCTACATATGGAGTAAGAGTTGCTTTCACATCTCAAGCATCCTCACTTAATAGTCTTGCATATAAAGACACTGTGTATCTATATGCTGGCTCAAACCAAACAATTGAACAGGTAAGCATTGATTTCAAGAAATTGATTTTTATATATCATGATAGTATTATTTCACAAGTAACAATTCGTTAATTTCAATTCGCAACATTACTACAACAACTAGTGAACAAGTGAATAAGATTGAGTTTTCCCCAGACAGTGAATATTTATATGCTCTCTCAGCAACACAAGTGAGTGATCATTTACTGCATTAACCTGTGAATCAACATTAATCAACAGGTTGTTAAAATAAAAGCTACAGTGGATTGCTCAAGTATAACAAATTGCTCTGAATGTGTTGTCAGCCTGTTTCGCTGTGGTTGGTGTCAGTTGGACTTTACATGTACTGGACAGAACTCATCATGTACTACTGGTGAATGGTTCAATGTAAGACTGACATATTCTTTCATGGCAAATGATGTGCTGGTATTCTTTATAGATAAAAGATGGTGGTAGTGCTAGTAGTTTCTGTCCTTTCTTAGAGCCTAACTCTGTTACATCTGATGGTAGATATACTCAAGCAGCTAATGTTGTTAAGGATTTAACATTATCAACTAGTAATACTGGGGTATATACTGTAACTGTAACAGCATTAATTATGGACTGTCATTAATTTTATAGTCTTCACCTGGTCTCACTTATGAGTGTGTATATGGTACTGATACTAGAACTGCTACTGTTAGCAGTGACAATAGAGTGACATGTAACAATGATCCTGGGGTGAGTAACAGTTGAATATTTAATAATAATGAATTATTCATTGTTTGATAGTTGACAACTGGAGGAGGAGGCAGTACTCAGAATGTCTCATTAAGTCTCATACAAGTTTACAATGGAAATAGATATACAATAGAGACTAATGCTACTGCAAATCTCAATGGTAAATATAATAAATATTATAGTATTTAATTATAATGTATACAGTGACCTTGTATGACTGCCCTTCATTGGCCCTTGGTTGCTCATCATGCTTAGCACAGAGAATTGGTACTGGATTTAACTGCAGTTGGTGCAATAGTAATACTCAATGTAGAGACATTAGTGATTGTAATGATGCTAGTCCTGTCATTAGTACAGGAAACTGTCCTCTACCAATGATTACTGACTTTAATCCTAAGACTGGTTCCCCCAGAGGTGGAACAACCATCATTATTAATGGAACTAATCTGGGTACAAAACGTTCTGACATAGAGTCTGTTATGATTGGTACTAGAAATTGTAATGTTGATGAATATGAACCAGGAAAAAGGATAACGTGTACTATTGTAACTGATGCTAGTGATAATACAGACAGGAATGAGACTATTAGGATAAGAGTGACCAGATCCGGTGGTAATGAGACCGCCAATAGTACGGCTCGATTCCAGTTCATAACACCAGTCATTATATCAGTCAGTCCTACATTTGGTCCTGTCAGTGGTGGTACTAGAATAAGAGTACAAGGTACTAACTTTGATATTGGTAATACAGAAATGACTAGAGTAATACTGAGAGAATCATCATCAAGAAAGAAGAGAAACACATGTCCTGATGTTAACTGTAATATCACGTAAGCAATAAACTGGTATATAAACTATTGTGAACATTAATAGGAATATTACTAATACTGAGATCAACTGTGATACTGGTAGTATTAATGATACTAACTGTGTGAGGAATGTAATAGTATCAGTTGATGGAGCTTCATTCTCTAATACTAGTATAGGCTATGAATATAGACCAGATCCTAGATTTGATAGTATCAGTCCTATGATCACAATACCAGCGTAAGTATCAGGCATGGGGTCAAGCACTTGGTGCTTGTAATTAAGTACAAATAAGCACAGCTTCCTAAGTACTTAATGCTGCTTACAAGTACCTTTTCAATATAATCTATGTGCTTTGTACTTGTACTTAATTACTTTTACAAATTGACAAAAGTGCTTTTAAGCACAGCAAAAATTACACACGAATAGTGTACATGTAGATGTACATCTACATGGTACATCTACATGGTACATCTACATGTACATGTCAATGTCATGTACATGTACCACTACATGTACATGTACATGTAGTATACAAGTTTAGTAGCACATTGTGTGATCGTGTGTTAGCTTGAAGAACAGTAATGTCATCACCATTAGTGGTATCACTCCAAAGCTCTCTGCTGTTTCCATTTATTATGAACAATTGACAGAGTTAGTGTTTATTAGATGCAATAGTAAATTAACTATAATTGTAATTTTACTTTATTTTTTACTTATTGAATATCTAGTACTTATTAATGTAATTAAGCACTCTGGAGAATGCTTGTTCTTGTACTTAAGCACTTATGTTAAAGCTATAGATTGTGCTTGTGCTGGCACTTCTAACAGATTTAAGTGCTTGTGTTTGTGTTTAAGCACATTATCTAGTGCTTGACCCCATGTCTGGTAAGTATATATACTGGTAAATACATACTCTTTATTGCTCTATTTTTAGTGGTGGCATTCAACTAATATTCACTGGTGATGACTTAAACTCAGTTCAATCTCCTACTATTACTATCAATGATAGTAGACTGATTCCTAGTAGTGTTGAGGTCAGTATAGTATTCTTGTTCTGTATAGTAGTAATGTATCTCTTTATACAGCCTTGTGTTGCTAATGTTAATGGTATTTTGCTGATATGTAATGCTCCTAACATTACTAATGTGGCCAACAGCAGTTACTATGGAACATCTATTGAGTACAAGCTGATGTTAAATGGAGCAGAGTCACCTAATTATGACACAAATGCAGGTCTGAGACTAACACTGCAATGTAATCCAATATTTACTGGTATTGATCCTGAGTCAAGATCTATATTAGTTGATGATGTTAATGACATTACTATTAAAGTGAGTTGTAGTTTCATGTATAAACTAATCTGCTTTGCTAAATAGGGAATGAATGTTGGATCAGTTAGCCCATCAGAGATTAGTATTACACTAGGAGACAATGATGATGATATTTGTACTGTTAGAACAACTTCTAATACTGTAAGTGGTTTCTCCATATAACACTGATATCAAAAAACCTCATAAATAGGAGATTACCTGTAGGCCACCCAACAAGCCATCAGGTACCAGATTAGCACTGAGAGTAAGAATATTCTTCATTGATACACAGTCTCATGATACACATCTACAGGTTAGAGTGGGAAGGAATCTAGTGTTTCCATCCAATGGTATCACTGGCCCTGAATGGACACTAGTATATACTAGCACTGGGTCTACTTCAATTGAAGCCATTGTTGGAGGATCTATAGCAGCTAGTGTCATTATTACACTATTGATTGTAGCAATACCATTGATAATTGTCATTTTAATTTTAAGAAAGAGGGCAAAAGACAGCAAAGAAAAGTAAGTTAATACTAGATTACATATTTAAGTTATGAATATACAATACATTATAGGCCAATA